TCATGGTTTCTATGACAAACCTGGGTACTACCCCCCAGAAAATTTCCAAGTATGAGTTGGAAGTGCAGCATAGGGCCAAAACTGTTCCCAGTGTGCAGCGTGGGTACGGCACCCTGTTTCGGAAGCTAGGCGTGTGGTGTAAATGCATGCTGTACCACACTAGCTGGCAGCAGTGCCAACCGATGGTCCCCATACGCCTTAACCACTAATGTAGATGTGGCTACTGTAGGAGTGAAGAACATGCAGGAAGGGATAGCTAAATAAGAAAGAAGCATTTGTTCATACCTGTCCTTGCTGGCAGCATTGAATCAAAATTAATTTATTTCTGCTTCTGAGGTCTTTGATATCAGCACATACCTGAGGGCAAGAGTTGGTTCAGGAACAGTGACAACAGAAGTACATGCAAGTAACTATTATCTCTTTGTCCTTTCTGCAGTCTCAAATGCTGTCAGTGGCACAATAGGCTTGATGGCAGAGAAGGGGGGGAAGAGGTCTTTGATTTGAGGCTCAGGGATGAATGGGCAAGCAAAGTGTTCTAAACATTTTGAATTTGCTGAACATGGCCACATCCAACTTTGACTGTTCCCATTCCACACAATCCTGTTTGCCAGAAGGATTTTCCCCCTTGTTCTCTTTTTATTTTACTTCCAGCATAGCCTTTCATAATGTAATTATAAAGCTCCTTTGACATTTAAAGATATTGTATCAATGAAATTACTGTTATCTATAATTTGAATAGCTATTCTGTAAACCTTTAGAGTAGGAAAGAATATGGAGCCCAGGAACTTAAGTGATCTTGGGTTGGGCAAAGTCAGATTTTAAATAGAACATATACCACACCCTGGCATGTCAAGTTCCCACCTTGCACTGTGGACACACTTCATTGTGTTGTAGTTTAGACAAGTCCAAACTTCTTGAAAAGTACCTGCCTGCAATCCTCACAAACCATTAAGCAGCTGGCTTGGGGGAACGTGCCTGATTGCAACTTCCAGTAGCACCCTATCAGAGGTGAGGACAGGATATATAAGTGCCACTAGAGAATTAAACAAGAGGGGTTAGGAGGATTCTCTCCATGCTGCTTATCTAGCTCATAAACTGAAGCATGTCACCAGTGTGATAAAAAATTTAAGAGTCCACATGAATTGTTAGAACAAGTCATGCATCACTCAAGCCTAAACTTGCTGCAAACCTTCAACAACTGTTCTGGTTCTGTCCTGGAAGCTTTACTGACCACCCAAGGACAAGGTTAACCAAGCCTCTATTCACCCTCACACACATTTCTGTAAACTTTGGCATTTATCCAGATCACCAGCACAGAAAAGTCTGAAAACAGTAATTCTAATTCTGATTTACACCCATGGTGCTGTTGGCGAGGAGAGCTTAAATGGAGAGCCAGTTTACAGAATGTTATTATTAGGATTGGTTTAGTCTTTATTGATTTATATAGCCACAAGATCAAGGCTTCAAAGCCAACTGCATTGTGAAATACTTAGCTTAACTAATATTTAAAAATTACTTCATAGTTTGATAGAAACTTGTGTAAGTGTATGTTTCCTCTATTTGATTTCTGGTGTGTGCTGTGAAACTTTCTGAGATGCTCAGTTTATGTGCACTGTTACAAATAAAACTAATAATTAAGCTTAGGTTTAAAGAATCTTTTTATTTTCAGAAGAGGGTGTAAAGAAGATAAGCAGAAATTTCAATCTTATTTTTGCCTGATGTTGACTAATTTAAAAGCTGGACAACAATTTGGGTTTTTTTCCCCATAAAAGGGATTTTTTTTTGCAATAACAGAAAGATAAAAAATGATCACTTGAAAAAATTTTAAATCAGCTCTCATTCTGTAAAACATTTTTTGTTTGTTTTGGTTCATTTCTAATAAAATCAGGTTTATTTATACTTCTCAGACAAGGAGAAATAGGTTTTATTGACCACAAGTTCTCTTAGAAAACATGTTTGTTTTCACTGAAGTTAGGGATATGGTGTAGTTGGGAACTGTCAGTGCTAGGTTAATGGTTGGACTTCAAGGTCCTTTCCAACCTAGCTGATTCTGTGAAGTTTGTGTTTCCCTGGAGCTCATCAGAATTTTCATAAGACCTTGTAACCCTAATATAGATTTCAGGATTGATTTATCTTCAAAGATTCTCTCATTCCCTTAAACCTTCTTACACATATCTGTCAGCATAAAAAGATTCAATGAAATAAGATTAGTATTGCATTATTTATACAATCTAGAACTATCTGTGAGAGACTGAAATGTCAAATGATTGTCTCAAATCTTGCTTGTGTGTGTGTTTTGAGTCAATGGAGTGGGGTAAGTAATGCCTCAAACATTCATCAAGGATCAGCTGTGGCCTTTGTAATTAGTCTAAGGAATGTCACCCAAGGAAGTGAAACAAAGAAATTAACAGTCAGAATCCAATATAACTGTTAAGCAGGTATTCTTTATTAGCAATGCTGGGGTCGCCCTGGGGATTCTCCACCATAAGGGCTCCCCAGAACTAGCAAGGGACATCAGTTTGCATACACACAAACTATACATATTCATTAGATTTCTTGGAAAGGGGTGTCTTATGATAAGAGTTCCTGGAATTCATTTACATAGTCCGAGCATGCGTAGTAAAAATAGTGAGGGTCTTTGGTGGTCAAGGGAAGAAGTACATGGTCTTCTATATGGTGTCTGCTCTTTCCAGAGCATGCACTGTGAACAAGTCCAGGTGTCTTCTTCCTAAATCAGCAAGATCATCCTCCCTAGATTGTATCTCTGTGTCATTTGTTCAGTTCCCCTTATCTTAGTTTGCCCAAGTGCCCACTGAAGGCTTTGAGTCTGCTATCAGTGAGTTATATAGAGAGCATTTTACTTTTGTTTAGACAAAGAGGCCTAGGGAGAACAGTTGAGGAGTCCTTGGGAAACAAACACAGGCAAAACTTTCATGTATCACAGTTTAGTCTTAATCAGAAATTCATTGGTTTGAGCCCTTTCAGAAGCAGGAGCTATCAAAGGATGCACCCTCCCACTCACTTCCAGTTGTATTATTGACAGACTCCTTAGATAAGCCTCAAAGGGGGTAAATGTGGACTGAGAGAAACCAAATGTTTCCCCTCAAGCACAAATACCGCTAATCACTGGCTCCATTGAGTAAGCCAGATACTTTGTGGCTCCATTGTGTAAACCAGACACCATTCATGCCTTGCTAATGACTTCTCAACTTCGCCATTGAAGAGGTGACAAGAACTGATAAGAGGTGAGCATTTCTGCCCCAGAAGCCAATGATTGCTCAAGAAGCATGAAGTCAGCAAAACCCTGTGGGAACAGAGGAAAAACCAAAGGTGGGCAGGGTGAGTACAACCACCGACTCAATTGGACAAGGGGTGGTGCATCCAATTTCCCACCCAATGCATGTGCAGAACCCATGCTCCACTTTTTTCCTCATGTCTCACGGAAATGACTTTGTGGAATACCTACCCCTCCATGTCTAGTATGCTAATCAGCTGCTAAAATGAGCTTAAAAGGTGACAGAGAACTTTACTGTGTGTGCACTCACCACCAAAGGACTGAAGACTGAGGATCAACAGGATGCTGCTGGATCTGTGGTGGTGACTATTCTTGTGATTCTATTCCAGATGCTTGCTTGATTTCCGTCTTTTCCTTCCATTCTGTCCTATCACTAACACTCTGCATTTTTAATAATAAAAACTGCTTTGAATATACAGCATTTGACCTTGTTTGTGTCTTAATCTCGCTCTTGGAATCATATTGAATCCTCTCCTGACATTGGATTGGGACACCACTCCACCTTTAAGACACTATTCACTGTTTGGTAGCATGTTCAAAATTATAAAAGGTATGGATTTTAAAGACACTTATGAGTAACTTTCTCTTACATTTACCTTTCTTGCAGATAACATATAACTGTGAACTGTAACTTGGCTTGCTCTCCAATTATGTTTTCAGCATGAGATTCATTTGTTTATGTTGCATGTGCAAGATTGTACAAATCTCAAAGAACAAAAATCAAGGGTTAAGTAGGAAAAGGGGTTGAAAAATTACAGCACATGGAACCTGTCTTAATTTCCCGGTAAAAATATCTGGGTTTTAATGCTACAGGTTCTTCATCTGGTGGGAGGAATTTCTTATTTGTGTTGCTTATTCTTGCTTTAAAAGCCTAAAATTGAAAATAATGCAATTTCTAAGGATAGGGGTAGAAAAAATTCTAATGACAAGCCAACACAAGCCTGTAAAATCAGCTTCATTAGATGGTGACTCAGGGCTGATGATGAGGGAGGAGGCAGTTTCCTAGGAGTAGATGGTACAACCTCAAACAAAAGTAGGTGCAAGTTAGATGGTAGAAGTCTGCAAGGCAAGGTATAAAACTATGCAATGATCTGTGGTGGAATAATCTGCCTTTCACAATTTACATGCATGAGGCATATGGGTTAACAAGGATACCCTTCATATAAAGTATAAAGAATTTATCCTCCAAGAAAAGTAGAAATCAAGTTTTCAAGCCCCAACTTCCATTCACAACACAACTTGAACACATGAAAATAAAGTTTATTTGATTAGAACAGATCATCTAGATACAGCAGTTACATTAAAAAAAATTCATTTGGCAGTCATTTTGTTTTCTAATTCAGTAATAAAAGTGCAGCTTAGTTGTAAAGGCACAATGCTGACATTTCAGAGAAGTCACTGATGTCCAATAGAACTGGCAAGACAAACATCTCCCTCCTACTTGCTTTAAAAACCACTTGTTTCATTTGCCTACAGTGATATTAAAAGCACTAAAGGTCTGTATTGGAAGAAATCATAATACAAAAAGCTGATCTGGATCTCAGAAGAAAGTCCTCAGAAGGAGCAGAACATGCTGAAGCTGTCAGTCAGCAACTCACATTTCTTTCTTTTTTTGCTCTTCCAAAAAGTGTCCAGGAAGACGGCATGCTTGTTGCCATTTCACTTGCTTGAAATTACCAGTAAAATCTCAAGAATTAAGAAAAAAATAGATACCTGCCTGCTGTATTTTGTATGAGAGAGCACGAGATACTGCCCATTGAAACTCCTTTTCCTTCACCATCTCTCTGCACATGTGCAATTTGATAGTTCACTCAAACCGAGCACAGCTGTTGTTTTAGCCAGGCACACTAATTCGCTTTTATGTCATAATACATGTGGAGAACTCTCCTCACAGTCTCCACATATTTATCATCAGGAACAGGCTTTCTCTGGCTTCCTGGCTCTAGAAATTTCGTGATTGTGGGGATACTGCTTATCCTTGCTTTAAATGCCTAAAAGGTAAACAGTAAGTACATGGTATTTAAAGAACAGAAAGTAACACAAGGAGAAACAATTTTACTGATTTGTTTAACATCCTTTAACAAGAATGTGGAGGTAAGACAGGAAATAAAGGTTTTAGCCATGGATTAATTTTACTCCCCCTCACTCCAACCTTGATAGGGGATATTGATATGTCTCGTATTGCTATGGCATGAAGTGGAAATAGTTATCTGTGGTTTTAGATGTGTACTTGACTTAAATCACTACTTGTGATCCAGTAAATATCTTCTGCTTAAAGGTATCACAGAACTGGGGAGGGGAGAGAAAAAAGGGAGGGTGGATTTCTTCAGATCTGTACAGGGATTACTCCAGAAAATAACAGATTCTCTAGATGAAACATAGTACAAGGTTCTTTCCAAAGCTAGAAGAGCAAGACTACAGTGAAAGAGGAGCAACAAATGCTCTTGTTTTGTGGAATTACTTACACACAATAGACTTTGAAATATAATTTATCACATTTCCAGACATATGAGTGTATTGTTAGTGTAAGGTACCTGTAATTGAGGAAAGCCTGAGAGCACATCTGACTTCTTCTCTTCTACCATTAAAATGGCTTCAAGAAGATGAACATCTGCCCAGCTAAAATTGTTGCCAACAAGAAAGTCCTGTCCATGGTCTTTCAAAACCTAGAAGTGTCATAAATGAAAACATTCAGATGTGGATAGTCAGCTGGGGTTGATGTTTTCAAAATGCACAGACACATCTTCTTTGACAATACTTACTGCCTCCTCTTCCTTTCACCTTTCTCTCCCATGCAACTAGGGATGCTACTAGTGTGGGGGATGTGGGCCAAATGCCTGCAGTCACTGATCATTTTACAGAATATCTGCGAGCAGTCCTCACTCTGGCAATCTAGAATCTTAGGGTTTCTCTTACCCATCCTTCCTTCCTATAGCTCTAGGTAATCCCATGTACTGGACTACAGCATTAGAAACCTCCTTGGTATTCACTCCTTTCCAGCCTAACAAATCTTGAATTTTTCTGTATGTACTTACAGCTTCAATGGGACAACAGAGAATGTAAAGGAGAGGTGATCAGCCTAAAGCATTGGGGCTAGGATGCAACAAGTGGAATCTAGGGCAGAACAAACTCTGGCAGCCATCTATAGGAGAGCTGGTATTTAAGCGGGAAACTGTCTTCCCTTTAGTCTTTAAAACAGAAAAACAGCAGGTGATCCTGTATGTGTATATTAATTTCCGTTGAGAACACCTCTTAGATCCTATCTCTCAAAAGATCAGTTAGAGAAACATAAGGATTCTAGTATGGCTTAAGCAGCAGACCACTCAGACTAGAAGACAGCAGCAATAGCTCTGTATTACTGTGGTTAAAAAAACATATAGATGTATTTGAAATGTTAAACAAAGCTGACAATTAGCTATTCTAAAATGGCATTGCCTTTGCAATGTAAGTTCCTGTGGTGGGTTGACCCTGGCTGGATGCCAGGTGCCCACCAAAGCTGCTCTATCATTCCCCTCCTCAGCTGGATAGGGGAGAAGAAATATCACAGACGGTTCATAGGTGGAGATAAGGACAGGGAGAAATCATTCACTAATTACTGTCACGGCAAAACAGACTCATCTTGAGGAATTTAGTTTAGTTTATTACCAATCAGATCAGAGTAGGATAATGTGAAATAAAACCTAAATTTTAAAACACCTCCCCCTACCCCTCCCATCTTCCCAGCCTCAACTTCACCCCCAATTTTCTCTACCTCCTCCCCCCAGCAGCGCAGGGGGCATTATCCTTCTAGAACAATGTTAGGAAATGGTCCTCCTACATACCTTTTCGTATACTGGGAAATACCTGCTTGTTGCCTTTTGAACAATAACAGCACGCTGTTTCTCTTTATCCTCAGCTGATAAGAATGGGAACGTCAAAATGAAGCCCATGAGGTCATCAGTTCCTCCAACATACATATCAATCCTCAAAACCAAAGCAAACAAAAACCTTAAATAAGAAGGCACCTTCATAAGCAGTTTTCTTAGATTTGTGTTGTGACAGTAAAAGTTGAATTTCCCACCCCCCTCATGAAAATTATTTTTGCAGTCAAAATAATAGTCACAGTCTGAGTCTCGCTCGTATTTGTAGTGTTGCTGGGCTTTACTCACCTCACTGTACAGGATTAAACAGGGTTATACAGAAGTTTAAAAAGTTTAACTTTGGTGTTAGAGGTCACTTCAGAATCACCAAAGAAACACACAGCACCACAAGTCATCCCCAACTGGCTTAGTTGTCCAGATATATCCCACCTTCAGGATTTCATCCAAAGTCCAAGTGGTACCAAACAGATTAATAATGGGGTTGGAAATCTGAAGTGTACAAGGTTCCACATCTAGCTAAATTATTAGTCCAGCAGCTTTTCAGATCGTTCCTTTTATCCATTTTTCCAGAGCTCTGACAGAAGGTTTTGTACAGTAGACAAGACTCAATGAAGTCCGCAAGAATATGAATAAAAATCTTCTAAAATAGTCTAACAAAGCCTTCTAACCATTCTGTGTCTTAAACCTGGAGCGAATCACAGCAAGTCTTCCTCAAAACACTGATGCTTCCTTCCCCCTGACCAAGAACAAATCAAAAAATATACTTCATTTATATTTGCTGCTAAAACAGACTCCAGGCTAAATCTAAAACTCGATGGAAGAGAATTCTGTTTGAAGGAAAGGGTATGCAAGGAAGGAAAGCTACAGGAAATGATGATTTACTAACAACAAAGAAGCCGATAATCTAAGACTGAGGCTCCTGAATATTCATTCTTTTTGTCACTTCCCCGAATCTGATTCAGCTAATTCTTCCCACCATTTTCGCCAGTTAATGGCAGTTTATTGTAAAGTATCTATTAAAGTTAGAAGCTTTACTAGCTGACCTTTAGTTTTCCTTCTTTTGAAAAACAATAGGAAACGGACATTTAAACGCCACATCTTGAGATAGCCCAATCACATAGTTTTCTCCTTCACACAGACACAACATGAGGACCTGGATTTAATTTCACATGAAACCAGAAGCTTTTCAACAACTTTCATCTGTTCTTTCCCCAACTCCCAAAGACCTAAACCATGCACTTTTTACAATGCTGTGGAACATCATGCAATCACAGATAACATCAATGACAGATCTTATTTTGCAGCCAAAAGTTAAAAACTAACCATTGCTTTACAAAAAAATTTCTGTTTACAAAAGCAGCTCAACATTTACAGGCCAGTCAGCTCTCAAATATCTGTGTCAAGCTGTGTTAATCTTTTCCTAAAGCACAATAAAACCCTGCCTCACATTTTTTTATGCAAAAATAATAGAATTAGAACAAATCTGTTGTCTTGCATCTAACTGTTGCCTGTCAGGCTCAGTGCAAGTTGTGTGTCACTGAGGCACACAGGTGATTCTCTGGGTACGAAAGTATGCAGTTAATTCTATATGTATCTATGCTACTATAACAAATTCAGAAAGAGTAGTACTGTTACAGTACAGGGCTCTCTCCTTCAGGTCCTTCCCATAAAGGTTGTACTTCGCTGCTATGTAACTGAGGATGGCTCTGGTCTGCACCATCTTCATCCCATCGATCTCCACCATCGGCACTTGCTGGAACATCAGGGATCCACCTAAGGGGAAAGCCATGCATTATTCTACTGGATCTAGTAATTCCACATTGGATTTCTTGCTGTCTTCAGAAGATTGTTACATTTATGGTCAGCGTGTTGTGAGTAGTCATTACATTAAACTGGAGTTCTTCTATGCAAACAATAAATTAAAGTGGTGCAGACAAACTGCAGAACACTATCATTATGGATTAGCATCCTTGCTTTAAAAAAAATCACTGAAGTTGCAGTCAGGACTGTGTACAACAACTTTTATGCTGAAATTGAAATACAGTGGAGACAACCACACCAAATATACCAACTGAGTACAAAGTGTCCAATTTAAATACATTTTCAAAAATTCTGTTCCATTATTTAAAACACAATTGAAGCAAATATCAGATTCCCAAATTTCTCTTATAACCCATATCTTAGGCTAAATCAGGACACTCAGTGAAGTTTTAGGATACACTTTTTCAAGTTACTGAAGCCCAGGGTAAGTTTGTGGGACATGTAGACAAGCAGAGTACAGAACAAGCCAGAGGCCGGGAAAACTCTTCCAGTTGGAAAGACATGCAATTTTCAATTGCATCTGTCCATATACAGGGAAAAAAAATCAGCCTCTGCAGCTGTTCACAACTCAGTTTTACTCCCCTCTCTGCTGTGTGGAAAGAAAGTCACATACAGTCTTAAAGTCTTCTTTTCCCATGTCTTCTCTGAGAATAAGTAAAGTCTGATCACACTCCTCTGGAGGTTTCACGTGGACTCACCTTGCAGGAGCTTCTCATACTGCTCTCGAGTTTCCAAAAACTCTTCTTCAAACTGACAAAAGAGAATGATGAAAAAGAGGAAATTAGTGTCTTTTCACATTTCTAGAACAAACAAACTTTATAAGCATTGTAAAAGGTAGAGAATATTTATATACATCATGTTCCTTCCGTTGTCTCTACATGGCTCTAAGGGAGAAAATATCAAGGGCAGAAGAACTGGCAAAACCTCTTGGACTGTTATATCTGACAAATGCTGCTATCAGAAAAGCAGCAAGAACTGGAGTAAGAATGGTTTGTTTAGCATTGAACAGGCAATTTAATGTGAGATAGTCAACAATGCAGACTAGGCTGTCCTTAAAATGCTTTCTGGTATGTGGAAAAAAGCTCTTCTGTGGGATATTTTGATTAGACAGGAACAAATTCTTGGAAAGTTAAAAGAAAGCTTTTACAAAATAATGTTAAAGTATTATGCCCCACAGGATGTTTAACACAGAAGCATGTTTAGGACAGCTAAATATGAAATATTCACTAGATGAGAAACAAAAAGACACAGAATGTGATCAGAATGACATAGTTATAGTCAACATGGTTGAGGATGGCTGGTCCAATCAGTGCTACTTACGGAGGAATTCAGTTCAAGATTAAGACACCAAAGTTAGATGTCTACATGTACATGTTTGCATGTGCCATACAGGTCTATAGTCAATGCAGACCATGGAGACTAGAAAACGACTGAGCTTGCCAATCCCTAGATGCCTACCTATGCACTCCCAAGGATCATTCCTCAGTCAACCTCTCTCAGAACACCTGTGCAACTTATGTTAAGAATTAAGACTTGCTACACTAGGGAAACTCTAGAAGATTAGGCACGCTAATACAGTGCCAATGTTTGACTATAGCAAGTGTGATCAGTCTAAAATTCAGAACCCAAGTTTCTGCTGACAAAAAGCTGGGAAAACAATATCCCAAGAAAAAATGTAATAGTTGGTACCTGTTAAGAGGGATTTTTTTTTAATTTAGGAAAAAAAAAAAAAAAAGAGAGGGAATTAAAACATAAGAACAAACAATGCAGGGAAAGAGCCTGTTGAGACTTCTGTAAAGCCTTTAAATAGATTTTGGAAAATTTAAATTTAAAATTTAAATAGATTTTGGAAAATGGTATTCCTTGACTCAGTACAGGGGTAACCATATGAAGTGTAACAGCCCTCTATATAAAAGAGGACACTTGAGCAACTACTAGTCCTTTCTGTCCTCAAAATGAATTATCAGTTTATCACCATGATAACTAGTAAATTAATAAGTAAATTATATCCCATTAAAAAAAAAAATTTGAAGTGATACCTTGCTTCTCTGATTAACCCAAATATTTTTCTTCCTCTGAGATTTCTGATTTCCCTACACACGTGGGTCAGTTTTCTCACTTCACCCTGCTAAGCCTCATCTAAATGATTTAAGTAAAACAGATTATATTTCATGCTATAGCTTATTATGGAGGATGCAGCCAGTGGAGTGAAAAATAAAAGAAAAACCTGTGCGTGAGCATCCAACTGAAAAAGGACTAGAGAAAGTAAATTCGTTGCTGTTTTACTTGGCACAGATAATACTTGTAATGCCAGGAATATATCTATCATCCCGCTCAACAGCTCTGGGTCAGTAATCAAATGCTTAATTAAGCATTACATATTGTTGCATTAAGCAGGAAACTAGTTTACAGTGTCATGGCTTACAATACATGTAACTTGAAGCTGTATATTTGTGTGCCTAAAGTAAGACTGTTTAATTATACTGAATAGCCAATGCTCATTTATTGCTGTGTCTTGGGATGTCATTTCTCACAGACAAGCTTACCAACGTGCAGCTTAAAGTTAAAAACACTAAAACAAACCTCAACACCAGCTGCAGCTAACAACCAGCGTATTGACTCCATCTTGCCTCTTCCATCAAAGTAGTAAAGTTTTGGTTTTCCAGCCATGACTTCAAGCTTCCTGTTACCTAAAATACTTATAAAAGACAGTAAGTTAATAACAATACAAAAATCTGATGGCAGCTGAAATAACAGTTCACAGGTCACTCATCTAAGTTAATTTTTGACAAACATTTCAGCAAAGTTTCAGTCTAAACTGATTTGATTTTACTGCTGCACAGTCAAGTCACAGTATTTCATAGTCTTTTCATTCCCTTGAAATTCAAGAAAAGTAAACATCAAGTTGCTAAGTGGGAGATAACAGAAAAAAAAAAAAAATTACCACTAAGAAAATCCTTAAAACTTTTAGAAAAGGTAAGTTTTAGCCCTAGAGTTACTCAATCACCACTGAAAGCCAGTTTTAATCGAAGGGGAGAAGAGGCAGTAGACAGGTTTTTCAAATCTGTCAGTCCTTATATCAAAGAATGCCAAAAGCATCTAAATATTAATTCTACAGATAGTTAGGTGAAGTACGGGAACATATTTTCAAAGCCTCTCACTTTTCTTTCTAGCTGTGGTGACACAGGCTAAGTATGTGATCCAGAATCAGTAGAAAATTCAAAAGAACGACCAGTTTCTTCTGTAACAATCCAGATTAAATACGAAGATTCAGATTGTTCCACTACTTATCCTTCTTCTGGTCGCATTTCTTTCTATTAATAAACCTGTTGCTAAGCAAAACTTTTCAGTTGATCAAATACACCATGTTTTGCAAGCAGCATTTTAATTCTTGAATGGCTTCATAAACAAGGCTATTAATTGTTATTTTTTGAAAAGACTAGTGTTCAGGTCTCAGCAGAGAATTGGATTCCACTGTAGAGCCATAAGCCAAAGAAGTATCAAATTTCATCATACTGGCATTTCATAAGCAGAACTTCATAATAGCAACTGCTTTCTGCAACTGAGAGCTGTCTTCCCTCTATAGGGAGATTTCTTTACGCTCCAACCCACAGCTCAAGTAATCCCGGAAAAGAGGCTGTTGGCATGTGAACAATAACCTCCAGTTCCCAATGTTTCAAAAGCTCCTTCCCAAGCAGAGGGAAAAGTGACCTTTGAAAGACCCCGAGCACAGACAAGGCAAGCAATCCTCTTGTTAGCCAACAAGCACGGAAATAGAACACAAAATACAAGACTGCATCTAACCACAGGAATTCAAATGATCCAGGCTATTTGGCCCTTCATGCCTGCTTAGGGGCCTCTATTTGTTCTTACTAAACTAAAACTGAACTAACTGTTCTTACTGAACTAAAACATTGCTGCATAGTATCTATACTGCTAATAAGTATAACATGCATGAAAAACAGAAAAAAAATACTGAAGAAAAGTATCCGCATGAACTACATAAAAGAACAGAATGAAACAGGAGTTGCCTGTAATAGCTAAATTCACAGAAGAAAAAAGAAAAGCCAAAGGTGATTTTTAACTTAAAGTTTAAAAAATTAAAGAAACAGAAGCGTTTTTTTCAGTGCACCCTCCTAAGACATGCTCTTAGCAGGCCAACATGTCACTGTTGCTGAGCACACATCAGCGCAGCAACGGCAAACGGAAGGTAAAGACGTGGTGGATACCTGTCTCGTAAATACAGGGGGATCAACAAGCTTTGAAGCAAGCTATAGCGTTCTGGTTCCTAAGACTGTGACTGCCGTGCAATATTGGAAGAGAAAGTCCAATTTGTGAACTGAAATCTGATGGAGAGAGAGCACCCCGGGGATGGGCTAAGAGCTTCTCGTGTCCCTGCTCTTCTCACCAAGAGGGAAAATGGCAATTTACAGCCAGGAGCTGCAATCACAGGTAGGTTGCTGGCCATTCACCTCAGCCTGGTATCTCAACAGCAAAAGAGACTTTGGGAAAAAAGATCTAAATTTACTCCCTTGTTGTGATTTATGAAGACCACCTGGGCTAACAGGGGGAAAGAAGGAACATAAATACCTGTGCAAGGAGTCATCGCTCCTGCACAGACCAGAATAGTGTTGGTGAAGAGAGCCAGGAGACCAGCCGCACCTGGCACGTCCTGCAGAACTCCAGGATGCGATTTTCACTGCTTGCGTTGAGCAGCCCTCAGCCCAACAGCGGCTGCATTTTTCTACCCTGCACCATGTGACACGAACCTGGGGGGAAAGTCAGTAGCCTCCAGGGCCATCAGCTCCAACCCCTTCCATTCCTGACAAGCTCCCCACAGACAAGAGATGAAGAGCGGCTCATGGTATTAAATGGGGAGTCACTATGCTGGTAGTCGGTGGTGGCGGGAGGACTGGGAGGCCGAGAGCAGAACAGAGCCAGCTCTCACAGAAGAGATGAGAAACGCTGGAGCACACGCCTCTCGTTAGGCCCAGGGCAAGCAGCCCATGACCAGGGAGGTCATCTCCTGGCCAGACACCTAATGCCAACCTGAACCCAGCACTGCCCCCCTCCTCCCCACATACTGCAGAGCCAAGCAAGCCAGAGGACGGTAGAGTGGTGACAGGAAAAGAAAAATCACAGAAACCAACCTTATTCACACAGAATTTTAAAAAGAAATAGAGACAAGCGAACATACACAGCCTCTAACTAGCGAGACAGCAGCGCTTCCCGCCGCAGAGCCCCCCACAGGCCT